CCGACTTAGCTGAAATGCTTTAGGGTCAGTAAACATGTTATGTACCGTATATACTCGCCTATAAGTTGGATTTTTGGGAGTTAAACTTTGGTCCAAAACTCTATGTCCGACTTATAGGCGAGATATAAATATATAACTCATATTATGAGGATATATAAGTAGCATAGACAAGATGACATGGTTAAAATAGCAAGATTTCACACGCATGCACGTGCGCTTCGCTCTGATTGGCTGAAACTATAGTATCAATATCTTTCTTGTTTTTTTTATTAATAAAATAATTAATAAAATCCTTTGAAATTTTGAACGTAGCCATGCATTAGGATATCCTACAACAAGATATATAGCAATTATCATGAAAACACGTGCATGCACGTGCGCTGCAATCTGATTAGCTAAAACTTTACATAAATATAACTCCCTTGGTTTTCAACAAAACTGGATGGGATTTGGAACATAGATAGATATAATGGACTTCTACAAGAAGTTATGTCACCATGCACATGCATACATGTGCATGTACGTGCGCTGCAATCTGATTGGCTGAAACTTTAAACAGCTATATCTCCCTTGTTTTCAACCAAACAGGATGGGATATAGAACAAAGATAGATGTAATAGACTTATACAAGAAGGTATGGTCACCATATGCATGCTCATGTATAAACGTGCGTGCATGTGAAATAAGTAAAATCAAAAATACACTTGAATGAGCGTATTTTTTAATACTTTTGGATTAAATACTTTAATATTTAGTACATTAAAATATATAAATTGTGTAGAAAAGATGATATGGTCATTACGCACATGTATTCAAATGCGAACGCGTGCATTGCTAAAATTTTTATATAGTTGGTACACTTCTGGGTAAACGTTGTTAAAGTCTCAAATGCATAGAGTTTCTGTTATTAAATGAAGCTTACAGGGAATATGGCACTAAAAGGGAGTTAGGAGTGTTTGGGGAACATCTGTAACGGTCCCCGTTACAATTAGCACTAGTTTTACCTTTGCCTTACAATTTACCATTACCTCACTTTTCTCGAATTTGTTACCTTACCGGTAGTTTCAAAGAAACAAATCAAGATATACCATAAAACTTCAAATACTAACACATTTAATGTAGTGTGTCCTGGGCACAATATGTCTCAACCAGTTCATTCAACAAATCACATTTATTGAACAAATATCAGGTAAAAAGGTACAAAATAAAGAAAGTCACATTCAAATAGCTGTCTTCTATCAATAAAAAACTCCTAGTTCAATTTAAACATGCAAATTGGTATTGACACAAATGGCATTAAATAGTAAGAAAATAGAAAAATTACTAAATATGAATAAATTCTTTACAAAATTTACATTTATGGTATACAAATATAAGATATGATCAGAAGAACACAAACTACAAAATAACATCATATAAAAAAAACCAAAACAGCTCCGGTGAAATGTAACATGTTGTCAACATCACCGACCGTTAATCATCTGTATGCGATTTTTCACTATAAAAACTTGCCGTTATAACATTCATGTAACTTAAACAACATAATGATATTAATAAATGGTAAAAACATACATTGTTGTGGCATACAAGCTCCAAAATGGAAAAATCTGTGTGTGGTGTTTGCACGTGTTTACTATAACAAAAAGGGAGATAATTCTATTTAAGATCTATGGAGCCCAATACCTGTAATGAAATCCACCACAGTCCCCACCTGATATTGTAAATATCACTAATATATAAATTTAACATGAATTTTGGAAAATTCACAAGTTTCTACCTCACATAAAGTAATAATCAAACAAATAAGTGTAACACATATCATGTCAAAATATTTTATTTGTCCAGAAGGGTTAAGTCTCAGTCCTCGTGAATCAAAAGAACCAGTTCTGATATTGTAAGTCGTGCATTTGTCATCCTTTACTATTCTCACTTCCACTTTACGCACTTTGTCATCAGCACTTTTGATTGCGTTAGTTATGATTCCAAGCGGCCACTCACACCTTGCAGTGTTGAGTCTTTCACAAGAACAACGGCTCCTACACAGAGATCAGGTAAGATATTTTGCCATTTACGCCTTATTTGAAGTGTTTGTAGATATTTCTTTTTCCAGCGGTCCCAGAAAATATTAGCAAGATGTTGGAAACAGCGCCACTGTGATTTATATATATCCTTGATGCTGAATGGTCCAAAATTTGTCGGAATGTTGTAAGTTTTCTGAGTCAACAATATGTTTGGGCTGAGATTCATAGGGGCTTCTGGATCTAACACTGGGACGACTGGCCTGGAATTGACAATGGCACATACTTCGTTTTCTCGTTTTGCGAGTCGCAATTGTCAATGGCCCAAAGGTATCTAACCCAATGTAGGTGAAAGGAGGGCATGGTTGAATTCGGTCTGCTGGTAAGTCAGACATCAGTTGACAATGGTATTTTCCACGTAGTCGACGGCACTTTAGGACCTTTTGTAGGAGTGAGGATATTAAGCGCTTTGCTCCAGTATTCCAGAATCCTGCTGATTGCAGTGCCCCAGCTGTGAAATGTCTCCCTTGATGCTTTACCATTTCGTGAAAAAAACGTATAAGTAAGACAGCTGCGTGGTGATTCTTCGGAATGACAAGTGGATCTCGTTGATACTAACGTATCCTCTCTTCAATCTACCTCCCACACGCAGCAAACCGTTTTGATCAATAACTGGATTCAAAAAGATGAGGCTACTACTTCTTGGCAATAGCCTTTGTGATTGCAAACACACAATCTCCTGCGCAAAAACCTCCCGCTGGACCATGCGTATGATGAGGTCTTCAGATGAAAATGAGTCGTTAGAGGCTGCAAGATCCTTCGGAGAGTGATAACTCCTAGACAGTGCTCTCAGTCTGTCTATGGATCTCACTAATACTTTCCAAGTAAAGAATCTCTCAAGCCTATGAGTTACGCAAAATGCCTCAAGTTGATCGCTTTTGTCGTCGATAGTCGTTTTTAGAGTTTTAACGTCTTTAGTCTTGCGGATTTCAGCGTCATTCTCAGGATCACAGAGCTGATATTCTGTATTTAGATTCTCTGAGTTGAGGCGGTCCTAAAATCCACCTGTCGTTGATAATGTTCTCAGGAGTCATGTTTCTTGTGGCTGAATCGGTTGGGTTATGTTTAGTTGGAATATACTGCCATTGGTCATGTGTTGTTGATTTTCCGATTCGGTCGACCCGGTTTTCTACGTACTTTTAGGATCGCCTGATTTTCTTATGCATATAACCCAGGACAACGAGACTATCGGTGTAAAAACGCACAGAGTTAAAGTTCATGTCAAGTTCTTCACTAATAATATCATATATCAAGACAGACATCACAGCCGCACAGAGTTCCAAGTGTGGATCAGAATGTCCTTTTAGTGGTGCGAGCTTACACTTTCCCAGAACAAATCCCACATGAATGTTGTTTGACGCATCACTATATAGTGATACAGCTATAGCTGTTTCCGAGGCGTTGGAGAAAAATATGGAGCTCTGTGGACAAGGTCTCTTATAGAGAGATGGGCGCGTATGTTCTTGGAATATGCACATCTTCAAGGAATTTCAAAGAGCCTTTCCAATTAGACCATCTGTCCAATAGATGAGGAGGTAAGAGATCATCCCATTTGTATGAACCTCTTAATAAATCTCTCAATAAGACTTTTCCAGAGACTACAACTGGCGGAACGAATCCAATTCGGTCGAATATCCCGTTAGTTGTCGACAATAGTCCTCGCTTACTGAAAGGCCTATCTCCAACTGATAAACGGTAAGTGAATGATTAAGATTTAAGCTCCCAGTTCAATCCTAAGCTCCTTAAAATAGGAAGCTCGTCAACACTTACATCAATATCACTGAAGTCCTTTGCCCTGTCCTCAGGTGGAAATGCATCCATAACATGTTTGTCGTTTGATATTACCTAATGTAAATGCAGATTACCACCCACCTTAAGAGCAACTTGTGTTCGTTTAAGCAAGTCGATTGCTTCATCAGCTGTTGGGAGAGAAATCAACCCGTCATCGACATAAAAGTTTTGACTTACAAGATCTGTTTCGTCAGGTCCAAAAATATCCTCTTTGACACAGGCAGTCTTCCGGAGGCAATAAATAGAAACGGCTGGTGAAAGCGAATTGCCGAAAACGTGTACTCGCATTCGGAACTCCATCAACGGATTGTTTAAGTCATTGTCTTTGTACTAGAAAAAAGCGGAGGAAGTTCATGTGTCTCTCGTCAACTGAAAACAGTGAAACATAGATTCGATGTCTGCTGTTACAGCTACAGATTCTTTATGAAAACGTAAGAGTACACCGAGAAGTTTGTTGTTCAAATCTGGACCAGAAAGAAGAACATCATGCAGGGAAATATTCTGAAACTTGTCAGAGGAGTCAAATACAGCTCTCATTTGCGACGGCTTTTTGGGGTGGTATACCGAAATATGGGAAGACACCAACACCCTTCTTTTTTCATTAAGAGGGGGTGCGATTTCTGCATGGTTGTTGTCAAATATCTTTTAAATGAAGGTTATGAAATGCTCTCGTTTCATTGGGTCTTTTCGGAACCTGATATCCAGATTTTATGCTCGCTTGAGTGCGTTCGATCTGTTGTTTTGTAGTGGTTGTCGCTTTTCTCTAAATGGCAATGGAGCTTCCCAATTACCTTCAACACTTAGATGAACATCTTGATCAATAGTTCTGATGAATTCCTTATCATCTACCGAGAAACCGACTGTAACATCATCCTTTCGTTTCATGAAAATAGAAGAATCCAGATCTTGAGAATAGTGACCTGTATCTTTATTGTTGACTTCTACATGTATGTCATTGGGACATGGTTGAAACATGGATCTCCTCCCGTTAGGAAGCAGGTAAGTTTTGTTCACTACAACTGAGTTTGGACGATGAACTCTGTTTAAACACGATTCACCTACTATCATACAACCCAAGGTAAGTCTCTGCGCAAAGGGTGAATTTCTGGAACCTGTTCGCTGATATGCTACATGGTGTGCTTCTGGAATATCACAGCCAATCAAGATGAGAATCGGAAATTTTCGTCAACTTCAGGTATGTCGTCTGCAATGTCATGAAGGTGAGTATATGATTTCGCCTCGTCTGGAGTAGGTATTTCATTCCGGATGTCTGGAATGTTGCTTCATTTTATGACAATGGGTATGTCAACTAATGATGATCCATCAAGAGATGAAACAGTGAGATATCGGGCTTGTCTGCCTGGCATGTCAGTAACTCCAGCACAGGAAGTTAATTGATAGTCAGTCATTATACTTTCAATATCGAGCTGATCGAATACATCCGACTTTATCAGTGTTCTGTTGCTTTGGTCGTCTATTATTGCGTACGCATTTTGTGTCTTACTTGGATTGTGGGTTTGATTCAAGTTTACCATAACTACTTTAGCACACGACTTCCCTGAAAATCCATCTCTGCATATCTGAGTGCATATAATATAAGATATAAGATCAGATATATATAATATATGATCAGAAAAACACGAACTACAGAGTTACACCATATAAAATAAACCAAAAACAGCTCCAGTTAAAAGTAACTTGTTGACAACATCACCGATCTGTATGCAATTTTTCACTATAAAAACTTGCCGTTATAACATTCATGTAACTTAAACAACATAATATTAATAAATGGTAAATACATGTACATACTTTGTTGTGGCATACAAGTTCCAAAATGGAAAATTCCGTGTGTGGTGCTTGCACGTGTTTACTATGACAAAAAGGGAGACATGTAATTCTATTTAAGATCTATGGAGCCCAATACCTGTAATGAAATCCACCACATGTAGAATATTATTTGGTGAAAATTAGTAAAAAAGATTCTTCAAAATTATTTGCCTTTTCTAACATTGTGCATTTAACTCAGTTTTAAAGAAATCATTGAAGATATTTTCAAACTTCATGCACTAACGAAAAATTTCAGTTGCCTTATTAATCGACCCTGGCCGGGACATTCATGTCTGATGAAAATATTTTTCTAGTTTTCTTATGTTTGTTCTTAAGAAGCCAATCAGAGAGCTAGGAGTTATTCTATCTCAAATAATAATTTTATTGTTTAAAAAATGAGTATATATGCCGATATTACCTATAATACAACCAATAAAAATGTTTCTTGCCAATCCTTGCTTATGAGATAAATTGAAATAAAATGTATAATTACTCAACGGTGGGTTTTAAAATAAAACATTACTATAAAACAATTTCCTTCTTTTACAGTGGATGATGATGATTCACCATTGAAATCATTCATTAGGATTAACGCTGCAGATTTGAAATCAGATCCGTGCCTTGTATTTGACATCTCTGATGCATGTGAAAAAGAAGCCAATTTGGAACTAGGAAGTACTGCTAAAAACACTGCAAACCCGTGCAGTGCATTCGACATCACTGATACATGTGAAAAAGAAGCAAATTGGGAACTAGGAAGTAGTCCTAAAAACACTGAAGTAATTTATAGAAGAGAAGATAAGAAAGAGGAGAATGTGGACTTGTCTAGCCCACCAAATAAAAGTAAAAAAGAAAATTCAGTAAAGATAATGGCTCTCTCCTCAGAAGCTCAAGCTTCTATAGAAAATGATGAAATTTTCAAGAAAATCTTGTCTGGAAAAAATAAATTCCCATCTGTTAGCATACTTGATTTTGCTGGACAGTCGGCTTACTATGCTTGTCACCAAATTTATGTTACTCCAAAGGCCTTCTTCATCCTTGCATTGGACATGACTAAGAGGTTTGAAGATGTTGTCGAAAACGAGAAAGATAATCAAGAAGGATCAATCTTCTCAGTGTGGACATACAAAGGTAAAAAACTTGAAAATGTCAGATTTTAATAAAGTAAGGCCGGAGTTTACGTTTACGATTTTAATTTTGTTCACCGATAATAAACATCCATTCCTCACTTTGCTTCATAGATTAAAATATACAAAGAAACATTTTTAAAATATTTATGATGAAAAAATACCGTGCATTGAAATGATTGATTGGGTGTAAGTTTTTCTAAAATCCGTCCGAGAATATGTCTCTTAGCAGTGCAGGAACAGCGCACTAGACCGCTCGGCTATCTAGGCAGGTCAAAAAACTTTAAAAAAAAAAGCAATACGTAGGTATATGGGTTGTTCGAGAGTTCGAGAGTTCTTAACGCGAATTAACTGTAAAGTTTACACTTAATTGGGAGAATAATCTTGTTCAGTATCATCAGGAATTAGGTCTAGTTTGTGTTCATTCTGGTGAAGTTATTCAGTTTCAAAATACCATTAGGGCGGAATGACTTCAATCTGTGCATCCTGAACTTTTCTTTGTTTTTTCTCTGAGCGTCTGTCCATCTTGGGTTATGGTCAATCACCACTACTGTCATTTCCTCCCATTTGTGACCTTCAAGGCTGAAATTTTCCCCAACGGGTTCATTGAGTTTTTTGGTCCTAATTGTCGAACGGTGGTTATTGACTCTCCTGCGGAGATCTCCTGTTTCACCAATATACTGTTTGGAGCAAACTTTGCAACTGATGAGATAAATGCAGTTGTCAGTATGACAGGACAAATTCCCTAGTATTTATAGTTGCGGTCTGTAACAGGGCTGTTAAAACTGTCTGTGTCAGTGCTGTGCTTACAAAGAAGACAACCTCTGTCAGGGTAAGTTTAAAAGTCCCTTTTAAGTAATGAGTTGTCCAATCTGGTTCTTACTAACATGCCCTTTAGATTCCTTGGATGTCTGTATGCAGCTAATGGGGGTTCCTTTAAGACCTCTGCCATTCGTTTGTTTGAATGGGGAATTGGCAGGTTCTTTTGAAGGATACCACTAAGGTTCTTAAAGACGGGAGGGTATGTGGTTACCAGAGGGACACTGCCGCTATTGTCTTTCTCCTTATAGCGTACAGTGTAGCCTCATTTATCCGGACGCTTTGGTTCCCAGTCAATTTGTCCGGATATGTGAAGCGTCCGGATATCTGAATCACCAATTAAACAAGACAAAGTAACGTTTAAAAATTCTGTTCCGATGAAAAATCGTCCGGATACTGAAGCATCCGGATATCTGGCGGTGAGACCCTTAGGTACTCCCTTAAAAGTGTGTGGGCGATGACAGCTAGTGGGCATAAGATATAGGTGGGAGTCTGTGGGTTTGGTGTGGAGACTGAATTCGATTTCATCATCAATCAGGGTAGATGTAGTATCTTGGAATACGTTTTCAAATTAGATACGTCTGCTGTAGATTTGATAGAATGATGAAAGGTGTTGGCAAACGTAATAAATGCCCTGAGGCTCTCGCGACATTCCACCCACTTTATTTCTATATCGTCAATGAAACGCAACCAGCTATGGGGCCTAAATGGTGCTTGAAGTAACAAGTTGTGTTCAAGTCTGCCCATGTAGACATTGGCATAAGACAGTGCCATTTTCGTACCCATAGCAGTGCCATTAACCTGCAGGTAATGTTCTCCATTAAGAATGAAATTGTTGAACTTGAGAACATGTTCAAGGAGCTTGACAAGGGACTCGGTAAAAAGAATTTGTATGGATCTACTATCCCATATTCTCTATAGGCGTCGATACCCTCATCGTGCAGAATATTAGTGTACAAAGATGTGACGTCCATAGTCATGAGGAGGGTATGATATTGGAGGCCAGTAGAGCGGGCGTCTTGTTGATGTAGTAGGTGGTGTTCTTGAGATAGGATGACAAATTCTCTACGTATGGAGATGTAAATCAATGAATTCAGAAATTTTCTCCTTGGGGTGTTAAAGTGTGCTAACTATGGGGCGACCTGACATGCCTTCTATGTGTATCTTAGGAAGCAGATAGATATGTCCTGGTCTACAGTCAGTATTAATTAACGTTTCATAAACGTTCATACTAATCTCATTTTTCTCAAAATAGATATGTCCTGGTCTACAGTCAGTATTAATTAACGTTTCATAAACGTTCATACTAATCTCATTTTTCTCAAAAATGTCGTCAAGAGTTTTAGTAATGGCGGAGGAGAATTCTTTAGTCGGGTCAGAGTCCAGTTTCTCATAGAAACGTTCGTCTGAGAGTTGTCTTTAACCTTTGCCATGTATGTCTCTTTATCCAGTACTACAACTGTAGAACCTTTGTCTGCTTTCTTGATTACAATGTCATCCCCATTTTATTTTATGTTTTTAAGGCAGATCTCTTTTCCTTACTCAAACTGTCGGGAGTCTTGTCTGGCATTGATTGGAGATTCTCTATGTAAGTTCACAGTGACTCTTAGGCCTATAGAGAGAGTTTGTGTTCCTCTAAGTCGTGTAAATCTGGCTTGGAAGAGTCGTATGAATCTACTTCAAAGTCTTTTCTGGAGAAGTGCTTCTTCAAACAAAGTCTCCGGGAGAATGCTCGGGTGTCATCTCTGACTTGTTTTTCGTCAAACTCATGTTTGAATGAGATAGGAAGATTGGGGTAAGGGTTAGATTTATTGAATACTGGCCAGACGTCAGGAGTTTGTGTGGGTCCGTCCCTCACGATTGTCTTCATGGGCTTAAAGCATCTCGAGCGGGGTTTTACGTGTTTTGTTAACTCTGAACTCTGACCAGTTGTTAATAGACTGTGGCACACCTTTTTTTAAAAAGTCTTTTTGACTTTATTTGTTAGGGCCATAATATATGTGTCCAAATATTATGGGCTTCATCAACATCGGCCTGGAACGGGATCTCGTGTAGTGATGATTCTAAGGACTTGATCTCACTCTTCAATTGTCATAACTTGTGGATATCCCAAAAAAGACAGAGTGACATCAATTGTTTAGAACATCTTTTTGTAATAACATCCCAGCTTTTTTTGAAAGCGTTTGGAGAGTGGCCCTATGTTAGGCATAACATTTATCTGGAACCTTTCGGTAAAATGTCACACTCTAAGTAGGTCTGTAAATTAGAGATCCAGTGTTCAGTTTTTATCGATTTTTTGGTGTTCTTTCTTCAGAAGTTTGAATGATAGGTTATTTTTCATAGACATATTTGAAAGAAAATTCTAATAGCCTAAACAATAAAATTCCCTTTTTGATTTTAAACATGTGAAGTCGAAAATTCAACGAACGATTGTGATAAATTCTTATGCGTGAAAAGAAGAAAACACTTGCTGTGGCCTTCAACTCGACATTTAGATATATCGACGACGTATTGTCAATTAATAATGATAATTTCCATTCCTTCGTCGATACGATCCTGGTGAGCGTGAGATAAAAGATACCACAGAGTACGACACTTCTGCTTCATATTTAGATATTTTACTTAAAAAAGACACTAATGGTAATCTAACAACCAAGCTATATGATAAACGTGATGACTTTAACTTTTCTATCGTCAACTTCCCTTACTTATGCAGTAATATACCCTCATCACCTGCATACGGAGTATATATATCTCAGTTGATTCGATACGCAAGAGCATGCTCTAAGTATGATCAATTTCTTAAACGAGGTAAATTATTTACAAACAAGAATATCAACAGTCTCGATTAAAGTCATTATTTCGTAAGTTCTATGGTCGATACAATGACCTTGTCAGCAAATACAATTTATCATTGAGTCAAATGCTGACTGACGTTTGTCATACCAATTGTTAGTCAAATATTTATACATTGAATTGACTACGGATGTTTTCCGTTGTTTCCTGATCAACGAGCACAATGCGGGTGTGACCTGTCGGCGGGGGATGCTCACTCCTCCATGGTACCTGATCCCACCTCTGATGTTTCGGAGGTCCGTGTTTGCTCTGCTTTGATTTCGATTTTCTCTTACGAAGTTTCCGGAGATAAATCGTGCAAGAATTTAAAAATTAAAAATCAAAGGGTACATGAATAAAACTCTCTCTCTCTCTCTCTCTCTCTCTCTCTCTCTCTCTCTAGATATATATATATATATATATATATATATATATATATATATATATATATATATATATATATATATATAAGCACAAATTACAACAACTCTTAAACTAATATAACTGCCCTAAGTGAAGGAATATTAATATAGAAAGCACAGAGAAATTCACTTTTACATGGATACTCACTTCCGCCCCAGCCCGGGGTTGAACTCTCGACCTACGGAATCTGTCTCCTAGCAGTGCAGGAACAGCGCGTTAGACCGCTCGGCTATCTAGGCAAGTTAAAAAACTTGCTTTCGATGCCGATTGAATTCTCACAACGCTGCCCTACACTACACGGTCATCGAGAATGGAAGTGATATAAAGTTATTTGGACATAAGTTTTTATAGGATCGTTACCAATACATGTTGAGATGAAATTAATTTATTTAAAAAGCACAAATTAGAACAACTCTTAAACTAATATAACTGCCTTAAGTGAAGGAATATTTAAGAGTTGTTTTAATTTGTGCTTTATAAATAAAATTAATCTCTAAAAACTAATGTAATGTGTGTGTGTGTGTGTGTGTGTGTGTGTGTGTGTGTGTGTGTGTGTGTGTGTGTGTGAGAGGTGTGTGGGTGTGTGTGTGTGTGTGTGTGTGTGTGTATATTAAAGTTCTGGAGCAACTTTTCCTTTCCATGTTTATGGGTACAAACCAGTAGGGCTATACTCTAATGAGAGACACTTGCTTTTTTTTTATCACGATGCTTAATTTGTTATTTTAGATGATCTCTTTTTTTCTTTTAGACTACTTGAAGTTTTGGATTACTGCAATCAAAACATTTGGAGGCAAAAAGGCACCAGTTTTTCTTGTTGTCACACACACGGAAACAAAATCTAAAGATGTAAGTATGAGGATTGAATGAAACAACTTCGATAAAATTGCTACTAATCGAAGTAAAACAACAAAATTATACGTGATGGAAGCTATATTTATTTCAAATAAGAACTCAAAAACTCAAATAAACATGATTTCTATTTTTTTTTTAATCGTATTATATATAACGTGCGATTATGGTAGTCGCCGCACCTAAATAATGTTATATGATGAATACGCACCGTCATACGCTTAAACGTTTCCCCTTCGTTTTATTAAACAATATTTGTGATTCACGAATTGATTCACATATTTCACTTTCTTTAAGAATTCTTGGAACCCATTGTACACTCACTCTTTTTATAATTTAGTCTTCCGTCAAAATTCTTTGAACAGTACCATAAGATAAACTAAAAGTTTCTCATTTCGCTAAACGTGACACTGTCTTTTTTGACAACGTTTCCGCCCGACCTCCTATCGTTCGGTCTTTCTGTCCTCTGCTGATCATTCAATGACCCATTGCCCGCCCAAAATCGCTGAAACCATCTATAAAGAAGTCACTTATTTACATTCTTTCTTCTGTTCGTCTGATTACTGTAGAAGTGGAAAACATTACGGTGTTTTTAATTTCACTATGTTCACGATTTAAGAATTTTCCGCGAACTTTTAACCTCGTGATTATTATTTCATGTCATTTCTACCTAGAAACAGTCATAGTACCTGAATATTTACAAACGATTCTCCGTGAAATTAAAACCACCGTGAAAGGTAACTTTCTAACAACCCGTGAAATTTTAGACACGTGAAATTAAAGACGTCTACAGTAATCATCGTAACTGTCCCTTGTGGTAATATCCCATTGTTGAAATGGAAATGCATTACAGCCTGTTTCGGTTTTTTGTTTACCATTTCGACATTTCCTTTGTTCAATGTATCAGAGTAAAACAACAATGTTTATGATTAAAAATAACAATGATGTCATTTCATTTTCAACTAAAGACTAGAATTTGTCGTAAATATTTTCTTATAAAATATTTGGCGATTGGGCGCTTTTTAGATATTTTTAATGTTTGTCTTTTTTTTTCATTCTAAAAATATACACTTAAACGTGACGTTTAGTTGTGACAAGGCGACGACATCTCCTATGTTTATAAACATCTATAAAATAAATTAAATTAAATACTACGCAATGAAATTTTAAATTTTGATTAGACTTATTTTTATGCATATTATGGTGCATTATATTTGATAATATGATGCCAAATATAAAAGAGATGGACATTGTGACATTACTTTTGGATCAACCCTTGTATTTAGGCTAATAAAAATGTAAATAAGAATTGAATAAACAGATCCCAAATTACCTTTAGAATGTACAAGTTTTAAATATACTTCAAGAATACAAAAGAAAGGGTTTTTAGCCCATACGGATATAAAATGGTTAATCTTTACAAAATGAATTGGTTTCTATTTCATTTGATGACTAAAGGCAAAATATGTATAATAATTCAATTCTGTTCATAGCTCACTGAGTTGAAATATTTTCAGATCATCAGTTGTCCTGCGTCCATCCATCTGTATCTGTTTGTCCCTCTGTAAAATTATCACATCTTCAAGTTCTGAAATACCACTGAGCCAATATTAACCAAGTTAGCACAAAGTATCTTTTTTGTAAAGGGTCATGCTGTTTTCCAGTGGTAGATAATCAAGACAAAATAGGGAAAAGTCATAAAAAATTATCATTGACACAAGACGCACACTGTGCCAGAAAATAATTTACTCTATTGATACATGTAGCTTCCTGAGGAAGCGTACGACGGTCGAAAAAAATGTCCGCGAATTAATTGAATTACTAAAATAAAAGAAATAATATATGGTTTCAACGTTCGATATTTTTTATAGTATTCCTCTTCGATTTACATGCACATCTGCAACCGTTCTGCTCTTGCACGAATCACGTGATCTAGGCGGCCACGTGACTTGCTCCGTAGCGTTTTGTCACAAAAACCTAAAGTTTTTTGGAGTCTTGTATTTCTTACCATCAAGTTACTTGTTTTATAACAAGAAAACTCAAAGTGTCAGAAATGCCCAGATCTCTGCAATAGGATGGGTAGATAAGGATATCTTTTTCCAAATACATATTAGCATAACTACCATCACAATCTGAGTCCTCTGTCTCTGATTCAACATATGGGCGCTTCCTTTTAATCATATCTGATATGTTTAGAGTCTAAAGTAAAAGATATTCTAGGAAATTAATAATTATATAATTGTTCATGTTAAGACATTCAACTATTTTTCTATATGAAAATTCATAACTTTTTATAATAAATTGCTTAACATAGGAGACGTCTCTTTCTCAACTTGCATTATCCGGACAACAGAACAAATATCATTTTTAATCATCAACCTTTCTTCACTAAAACAATCAATTCAATCAAATTCTTGTTAGCCTTTTCTCTCTATCAACCGTGTAAAATTTTAATTTAAACTACTGCAAAGGAGTAACGAAGATAAACGTTAAACTGAACAACCGTTTGTTGCTATAGTACGACTGAGTCAACGTTTTTTTTTTTTTGTCACAAGTGATCTAAATATTGATGTAATTTCCACATTTTGACGTCACAACAATGGATAAAAACATTTCATTATATATGCTGTTAAAGAACATATGTATGACTATACGAGGGGTGATCAAAAAGCTCGCGAACTTATTGAATAACTTGCATAACAGAAATAATTTTTAGTTTCAGTGTTGATTATATTTTAAATTAATCAGCACATTTGTCAATATATTTTTTAGAGTTTTATATTTCTCTCCATGTAAGTTATTTTATATGACAAGAACTGTTCATTTGTCAGAAATGTTCAACAAAATGGGTGGATAAAAATATCCTTTCCAAAAATAAGCATGGCGATTATCAAAAGCCAAATCTTCTGTCTCGGAAGAGATGTTTATTCATTGTGGATAGAGAATGGGTACCTCCTTCTTATCATATCTAATATGTTTTGAATCTAAAGTGAGCGATATTTTAGGTATTTAATACTTATATTATTGTTAAAATATTCAACTATTTTTCAAATTGTAAATTGGACGTCTTTGATAGCAAATTGCTTAATTAAAAACATAACTTCTTTTAAACTTGCTTTCACCGGGCAACATAACAAATATCATTTTTAACCATCTGCCTTCCTTCACTACAACGACCAATCCAATCATTGATCTAATTTAAAGGAAGTCATTTGTCTTAATAAACTTTGTACAAATTATTATACATTGTGACGTCACAAACAATGAGCATGCAAAAAATGATTAAGCATATGCTATTTATAGAACTTTGGTATGGCTATGTGTGTACCAAATTGTTTTCTAATCTGAATTGTGGTTTAATAGATATAGAGATAGTTCGCAAGCTTTTTGATCACCCCTCGTATATGTGCCAAATTTCATGCTGATTTGAATTTTTTTTTATTAAATACAAAGATAGTTTGCGATTCAAAATTCTTCAAAACATGGTTCCTACGGATAGGATAGGACGTGTCACATACGTTACACATACTTATTGACTACCATATGTAACACATAAGTGTACATAGGTGTAAAACTATGCTGAAACGTATATGTTTCGAAAAAAAATCACATATTGTAAACGTAGGTGTAACAGAAATGCTGTGCGATTAGAATATTCAATTAATGCATCCCCGAATAAGAATTTGTACACCACGATAACTAACGTTTAAGAAAAGGTATATAAAACTGCTTTTGCGCATTTGTAATTCTTTGCTCTTCTCAGACCTTGGCTGTTTTTGTCAAGTGCATCTAATTGTAAATTTGTTTTGAGGGTTAAAAGCAAGGAATGCAAGTTTCTTTATTATTATTAGTTTGAATTTCAGACAAACGTGGATGACTACAATTTTTGATTTTTTAAAAACAATTGTTAATATATTCTTACACGCTGTCGTTTTCACTCATTGTTCAAAACATAGGGTGACCATTGAGTACTAAGTTTTCATCATTAAATGTTTTTTTTTTTTTTAAACAGTGTAAACTACCCCCAAGATAATGCGTATCTATGTGCTATGTGACTTAAAGTCAATCAAACATCATCATTGATAATTTGTTGAATTTTGGTAAACAGTAAAATGGTACCCATTTTTGATGCCCATTATATATATATTGAAATCCACCTGCTGATTTATCTAAAAGAAAGACATTGGTTGCTGTTAATTTCACATTTTTCAGGGATATTTATTTGGGATTCTTAGTAAGTTTTCAGCAGCTTCAATAAAACGTTTTACTTCACTCTAGTTTACTGATTCTTTACCACTCATTTTTAATGCAGAGTCTCGAATAGCCCTTATTTTCCAGCTTCTCACAATTAAACTATGTGATGAAAAGTTGTCACATAAACTGTAACCAATTCATTAAAGATTCAGTCCTGAGAGAAAGTTAAGCTTAATGTCAAATGATTTCAATGTTGTATATGTCACAGAGCTCAGGACATTATTTATTGAACAACCCTTGAAGTGTTCAGTGACTGATTGGAGTAACTTTTTTTTCAAAATGAAAACACAATAAGCTGATATTAAATAAATTCTAACTAAAGAATACAAGGGACAAGTCCTTGTTTTAAAGAAGAACATTCTTTAATTCACATCTGAAATAAAGGAATGGTTGTCCTCGAATATACAAAACAACGACATCTCCATGTAGTATGCATGGGTTTAATTCACGACACATTTAATCTAAATTTCTATGAGACCATAATACTAGGTTTAATTTCATGTCAGTAAAAATTGAAAAAAAATCAAAATTTGAAGAGCTGGGTCATGATGACTCAGGTAAGCAATGTGGTTCATGGGCCTCTTGTAAAAGTTCACTGTGTAAAAACACATTGCATATACAGTGCATGCAATAGTTATAAAAAATTTCTCCATTCCGAGAAACTATATTTTGCCTGTTGACATTCAAAGTGGCACTGTAATTCTACAATGGATACCAGATCCACAGTTTTATATGTAATCGATTTGAACTTTGTACCGATTTAAATACGAAAATACATGTTTCTCCATATTTTCAAGCATAAACAAATAATTTAACATAAGAGTAAATCATAGCATACAATTATGTTTTAATATTTTTATGCTTTCTTTATTTACTTACCGTTCACGGTAGCTCAGTCGGTAGAGCGCTCGCTCCGTGATCGGGAGGTCGTGAGTTTGTATCTCGGCCGCAACTGACCTAGTCGTTAAAATGGGTAGCAACTGTTCCTTCGCCATGCGCTCGGCACTTTGAAGTGAAAGTTGCGGATCCTTCGGATGAGACTTTAAAAATCGAGGCCCCGTGTCAGCAGCAGGCGATGGCACGATAAAGATTCCTCACTGCTCAATGGCCCTGAGTGCCGAGTAAAGGTCAAAATTTGAAGCCCTTCACCGGCATACGGTGACGTCTCCATATGAGTGACAAATTCTCTCGAGGGACGTTAAACAATATACAATCAATCAATCAACCTATAAATTAAAATACCTTAAACATATGCTGTGCTGAATTATTGAGACATTTCACTTACAATTCCTGTTAAATTTCCTTCCTTCAAGTCTTACTTAACTGGGCTTATTTTTAAAAAAGACTTGATTTACTTCTACCACTTTATCTCCTTTATTTTAGGGCTGATTCAATCTTTATTTACTTCTTCAGGAAATAGAGGAATACTTCGAAGAGTTCTGGAATGCTGTACCAGACGAGGACAGGGATTGGTTAAGTGATTCTCTGAATGATCGGGAATATGCAGTAGGTCTGGAGGAACTTAATGATAATACCAAGGAAATGCTGGAGTCAATAAAAAGGGCCATAGTCGACCTATTTACAGACGAGACCAATACAAAAATTGCATTGCCTTCTTCATGGGCTCTAATGGAGCAGTTATTGTATGAAGGAGGCTGGAAGGTTTTGTCCCTGAGTGAAATCTGGAAGCTCAATTCATCTCTTCCCGATGAATACCAAATCAAAAGTGATGAAGAAATGTCAAACTTTTTAAAATGTTTCTATGATAATGGCCTTCTTTTGAATTTTCAAGAAGCGAAATTGAAAGAACATGTTATACTAGACATTCAGTGGTTTGCTAATGCTTTCAGTAAGATAATTGCTGATGAAAACCACATCACTAAAGACTGTAAAAGGAAATTAATCAGAGAGTGGAAATCCTTTAACAAAACGGGGGAACTAAAAAATAAAGTGATAGATGCTTTGTGGAAAGATGAACCCTCTTACATGAAATACAAAAGTGAGATTATGTCATATATGGAGAAACTTCAAATGCTGGTACATTTGAATTCATATGAGGCTGTATCAGAAGGTGGCATGTCATGGTATGTCCCATGTATGAACAAAAAACAGTTTAAAGCTGACTTCCGTGAAGATGAATGGGAATGCTCGTCGATTTTGTGCTATCGATTCGCTTCCTTTGCCATGTTTGTGTTTTACAGACTTGTTGCATATTGCATAAGTTTTCTAAGATGGAGTGTTACAATAGACAAAGACAATGAAAAAAGTCCATGTCTTTATCAAACAGCAGCAGTGTTTGATCACAATGAACACACTGTTGTTGTTGGCATATGTAATGACGATATTCAGTTGCAGGTGCTGAGAATCAAACCATTGACTGTTGACAAAGAGGTATCAAATGAAATTGGAGTCTCCATTGATAAAGCAATAAAAAAATTGACAGAAACATTTATTGACACAAAAACATTCTACAGAGGATACAAATGTCTAAACATTATTTGTAATGACAAAGATGTATCTTTTATCCTTGCAAGTGAGCTTTCCAGAATCAAGGCCAGAGAAACGCAGTGCAAATGCCAACTTCAGGAGAAACATGTGATTAATGTACAGACCACTCTGGGATTTTGGGAAAAGGTAACAATTACTAATCTTTATACACCCTGGCAAACTAAAATTGAATAGTATATAGAAATCATGTCCGTCAGTCTGTATATTTCTACCTAGTCTATAAAGTTGTAGAGAAATAAAAAACACTGGAAAATCAATCTAGCACAGAATTTTTTACGACTTGAGGGAATCATTATTATTTCATTTTGACCAAAAGTCATTTGGGTTATTAAAGATCGATGAACAAAACAAATATTAAACTAAGAGACACTGGAAGATCACTTTACACAAAGATTGCTGACAGATGTGTCTTGATCTTGTTGTTACCTTATATAGTAAAAAAAGAACAATCAGAGGTTGATATTTAACTATAACAAACTCATTTTGAAAAAAAAAAAATATTTAAAAAATTTTTAAATTGTAATTTGGTACAGTCCACTACTTTTTCCCACATGCGACAATTTCAACGTTTCATCACATAGCAATGTCCCTAATCTTCGTTTAGCAGTGAGTGACCACTCAAATCAAAGCACATCAAGTTGTCTTTAATTTCCTTATTTAAAATCTCGAGGTGGCATGTCAGATTCGTTTTCCGGCAAAATGCGTCTGTCTGCGTAAACCTATGAAAATGAAAGGAAACATAGGGGAATTCAAGACTTCCCACTTCTTGATAAATTACATTTGCCAAGTTATTTTGTTACGAAACATACTCCTTATCAACAAGTATCAACAAGAATGAAACTTAGTTTAGTACATAATCACAATTTTTTTAAGTCAAGTCTGCAAACTAAGGATCTTGTAATTTTTCTGCACTAATCCTTTTTAATGATTCTAAAAATAATTAGAGGTATGTACCCAATACTGCCCAGAAATCGAAGACTGGGGGATACATAGTTTTCACCATGTTCGTCTTTCTGTTGTCTTGAAATATGTTTGCCTGTTTATCCGCAAAAAACCTGAACCTTGCCCATAACTTTTGACTGGTTGAGGCTATCGCTTCACATGTGTATTTTTTGTGACAAGTACTTTCTTTCATACTTCATATAAGTAAACCTTGTGACACGACCTTCGAATAGATACCAACACTTTTGATCCTTTGATCTTGACCTAGGAGATTTATACCTTGGCAATAAGATTTATACGATTAGGGCTAGGGCCTTCATGCTTTACAGATGTAATCATTGTGACAAGGCCTTCTTTAAGATACCAACAACTTTGACCTTGACCGGAGTTTGTCCTACTTTTAAAAAACTTTAGCCATCGACCATAAATTTTTATTGGTTAGGGAAATGGTTTTCATATTTCTCATATGTAATTCTATTGACAAGACCCTTCTTTAAATTCCAACAACTTTGACCCTTTTACCTTGACTTTGGAGTTTGACCTACTTTAACCCTGGTAATAACTTTTGAACATGTGGTGCTAGGACTTTTATATTTCACCAGTGCATTTCTTGTTGGAAGACCTTTCTTTGGGTTCCTACATATTTGATTTGCATTTGAGAAACTTAAGCCTTTGCTAAAAGGTGTCGTACGGGGAATCAGTGTTTCACAAACTCATCTTGTTGGATTTTTTATCCATGATTTCTTATTTTCTTGAAAAATTTGATAAGTAATGTGAAAAAATTTACGTGAAAGTGTAAATGTTCTTAATCTTTCTATGCTGTACAAAGTATTTTGCAAAAAACCCCAGCTGCGTCTATTCGCATGACAGATAATGTTAAATAAACTAATACAAATAATCTTAACATTTAACAAATGCTATTGTGACGCCATTTTCAAATTACGTCACAATCCGCTGATCTAACACTATCTCTTTAGTGTCTTTACAAACACTTTAAGATACATTATTTTTTCGTTGTTTTCCTCTCATATACATCATAAGTACCGATATATCTGTCACACAATTTGTGGCATGTGAATTAATTCTTCTTTTACTTATTTTAAAAAATTATTTCAAGTTTACTTTGTCAGCGTTCTCATGGAGGTAACGTTAAAGAATTTGATGCCCTGTAAATTAAATAATATAAATTAAACTAATTAGCATTAAATTATCGATGTGATTGATTGATTGATTGTATACTGTTTAACGTCTCTCTCCAGAATATTTCACTGATATGGAGACGTCACCATTGTCGTTGAAGGGCTGCAAATTTAGGCCTATGTACGGCACTTAGGACCTTTGAGCAGAGAGGGATCTTTATCGTGCCACACCTGCTGTGACACGGGGCCTCGGTTTATACGGTCTCATCCGAAGGACCGCCCCATTTAGTCGCCTTTTACGACAAACAAGGGGGTACTGAGGACCTATTCTAACCCGGATCCCCACAGGGAAAATTATCGATGTGAATGTGAGATTTAATTTGCAGGATCTTACGTTTAATTTTAATGAAATCTTTTGTGCTTATGGGGAATATATTCTTAGTACCCAATGTGTTTTTTGATTTAAATTTCAGACAATCGGGGAACTCTTTTACATACCTTTTAATGAAGATGTGTCACACAGTGATGATGTCACTTACAATCATTGAGCATTTATTATTAATTGATATGTTTTAATTCATATTGACACCGTTCATGGTAGCTCAGTCGGTAGAGCGCTCGCTCCGTGATCGGGAGGTCGTGAGTTCGCATCTCGACCTAGTCGTTAAAATGGGTAGCAACTGTTCCTTCGCCATGCGCTCGGCACTTTGAAGTGAAAGTTGCGGGTCCTTCGGATGAGACCTTTAAAACCGAGGCCCCGTGTCAGCGGCAGGCGTTGGCACGATTAAGATCCCTCACTGCTCAAAGGCCCTGAGTGACGAGTAAAGGTCAAAATTTGAAGCCCTGCACCGGCATACGGTGACGTCTCCATATGAGTGAAAAATAATTTTTCGAGAGGGACGTTAAACTATATACAATCAATCAATTAATTCATATTGACTACAATATTTGTCATTTCCAGAAACCTGTAAAAGATGCAGAAGAACACAGAGGTTTATTACAGTCCTCTTTAGATAGCCTTGATGCAGGAGGTAAGGCAATATAAATGGTGACTGAATTAGACAGCTTTGATGTGAATTTCATTTATCCCAAAAATTGAATCTTGGGGAAATTACTGTTTTTGTCCTGTCTGAAATTTTTTGCTGACCTGGGCTCAAGTGAGCTTTTCTGAACGAAAATTGTCCTTGTCTTTCATCGCTGTCGTCGTTTTCGTAGTGAATTTTCACAATTAGATCTTCTCCAGAACTACTGGGCCCATTTCAACCAAACTTAGCACAGAGTATCCTTCGTTCAAGGGAATTCAAGTTTGTAAAAATGAAGGGTCGCGCACTCTTTCAAGAGGATGTAATTAAAAATGACATCTTTTAAAAATCTTCTCTAAAACACTGGGCCAGGAAAAATAAATGCATGTTAAATCATACTCAGGTAGTGAGATTAAAGTTCATGATGACTCCTGGGGTTAGGGTGGCCACAATAGACAATCAAATTTTGAAAAGTAGAAAAGGCGGTGGCCTTCAACTCGACATTAAGATATATCGCCGACGTATGGTCAATTAACAATGGTTATTTCCATTTCTATGTGGATACGATAGATCCTGGAGAGCTTGAAATAAAAGATACCACAGAGTCTAATACATCTGTTTCATATTTGGATATCTCACTAGAGAAGGACGTTAATGGTAATCTAACAATAAAGCTTTATGATAAACGTGGTGATTAACTTTTCATTTTCCATTTTCTCTTTTTCAACATCCCTAACTTATGCAGCAATATATACCTTCATCACCTGCATCCGGGTTTTATATATTTCAGTTGATCATGCTCTAGTATGAATTAGTCGCCCGCATGGCGCAGTGGTTAGAGCGTCTGCTATATAAAGTCGCGAAGTAAGGAGTTAATCCTTACGTCGCGGTTTCGAATCCTACTGTAGGACGTGGAGAACGGTCCTTCGGTTTAGACCGCATAAACCGAGGTCCCGTGTCGTAGTAGGTGTTGGCACGAAAAGGATCCATCACTTCTAAATGGCCATAAGTGTCGAGTAAAGGACAAAATTTGCAGTTCTCCATCGGTAAGCGGTTGTGTCTCCATTTGAGTGAAATTCTCGAGAGTGACGTTAAACAACAACAGGTGAACTGTGCCGAAGCATATTCAAGAAGTGGTTTAAATCAAAGGTCGAATCTCAAAAATTTAAAAAAGTGTAACTACATTTATATAAATGTAATAGATTAAATAAAAAATTATCCATACTTTATCTATATTTTTATAGTTAAACTAGATGAAATATCGCACAAGCGCGGGTGAAATTGATTTCTTTTACTGCTAACAGAATTATTCCAAAACGTATCTTTCACTTTCTATTGATAATTAATTATACAGGCTTATTGCGTGAAAAATACTTCAAAATCTCGCAGTTAGTTTCGGAAAAGAAAGGATAACTATAAGATATATATATATATCCCCTGAATATTTTACAATTTAAAAATTGTCGTTTTCTCCTTTAATAACATGTTATAAAGCAATAAACATTTTGTTTGTTTTTTACCTGTAGTATTACGCTGTACATAATGTACTACGGATGTTTATTTACATTTTCTCTTTTCATGTTAGAAACCTTATTTTAATATCCATTGTAATATTGCCTATTATACTTCGAATGCTCTGTTTTCATTCACATCAAGGGAAAAAGAAGCAAATGTGCACATTTAGCTAAGTTTGTCGCCCTTCTTAAAAAATTAGCTTATAATTTTCACCCCATATGTAGACAGGCCTAATAGGTACACTAGTATATAGGTATTTAATAAAAAAATGTATTGATCAAAGCACACGGTTTAAAAACTTAAGTAAAATATATAAAATAAAAATGCTTCACTTTTACTTTATATACTTAAAGCAATATGAGCTGCATTTTTGAGAATTTTGTTTTACTGGTAAAATGCATTATTATGATAAATTTGAACGTAATTTAAACCCTTACAAGTAATAGCTTTTCAAAAAAGCTTGCCTGACTAATGCAATCAATATCTATGGAACCTATAATCATGATAAGTTTTATATATAAACGTTTACATTGGGGTTAGATTAACAGCCCGTTATGCATAAATGATCCAACGAACTTGACGGTGATTCCTTATATTCCTCAATCCTGGAATAGGAGGGACACTTTTCCTAAGTCTATTTTCTGTGTTTCATAGGAGAAAGAATTTTATCTCTGAAAACTGGGGAGGGGGTTGCAATTCCAGGCGAGATATGATCAGAAATATTATGTATATTTGGCCAGTTTTCCTCTTAAGAACTCTTTTCGGTTTCGTTTAATTTACTTTAAATGATGTAACTTCTAATTTATTTATATCACCTATATGTTTTTTCCCAAAGTTCGAAATTCCGATAAAAAGAACAGACTTGAAGTTTTCATTTCCATTCAGTGCAGTAGAATCATCCAGGAAAAGGGCGCGAAGATATACACGTGACATTTGGCGCAAAATGATTGTGACACCCCTTACCTAGAAGACAAATAGACTCATCCAATAGTACAGAAACGCAAAAAAAAGGTCAAACGGACATGTCCGTATATGAAATCGCATGAAATAAACAGCTGCATGCAAAAAACTAAAGGAAATAAACACATCAATATATTGTATAAGTAAGACGGTAATTTTTTTCTGCCAAATGTTTCCTTAAAGGGAGGTAACAAATTCCAGTGATAATCAGCATGCACAAAATTTTGCTGGCTAACAGTGACTTCTTCTCTTCGCACCTCGGAAATATCAATCCTTATACAGTCTGACGCCGTGACGTCAGGCTATGATCACTAAGACCAAAATAAAGTTTTAAAATGTTTCAGAAGAAATATTTCTGTACGGTCGAATATGCAGTATTATATAAGAAACCATAATTGTACAGGACGACATAAATGCAATTTGGCTTCAATGAAGGCTTATAAAAATTTCTTCCATCCCAAATATGAACAACATAAGTTCATAAATGTTCTATTTTTCTGTCATTGAAATTATAAGTCACAAATTTGCAACAAAATTTTCCAATGTCAAACATGCAGCTCATATGGCTTTAAACAAATAACAATGGCAATCAATCGACATTCATTTGCTTTATAAGCACAACTAATTTTCAAAATAAAGATAAATTCATATACTCATTGTGTTACCAATTACTTTACAAATATTTCCATACCATTCATGATTATCGTCTTGATTTTCTTTTTAGCATCGGGTTCGATGCCATCTGACATTCTAGAACTTTTAATAAAGAGTGCATGAGATTGGACATAAACGGAAAGGATTTGAGCATTTTGTCTTTTTATCAGTAATCACACTTATTTTTTTATATCACCTAAAATCATTGAATAATTCATCAATAATGTTAAATGATATGATTGAAGGTTTGCTTGTTGTCAGTTTCATAAAAAATGCCAGTAACTTAGATCCGCAAACCGGAACCACCACCTCTTTTTTGCGATTTCGAGCTGTTTACCAAAAAATGAAGGTAGACTTTTAAACAAACTTAGGATAATTACTATGAGAGTGAAATCTGAATATAGTTTACGGACATCACCTTAAATCAAATATATTTCTAGAGGAGCAAGTAAGAACTCTGATGCAGTCGTTTAGAAGTTTATTTGCAAAATTTATTAATTTATAAGTATATTATATATATTGTACACATGTAAATTAATTTTTCGTAGGTCATTACAAACATATTGTGTATCTTGATTTTACTTGGATCTAATATTCAATAAAATGACTGTGTGTAATGGTTAATGTTTCTTTTTTTGGAACAGAATAGTATCTGAATTACGAAAGTTGTCCAAAAAGTTCGTGGACAATGACGTTTTTGTCAAAATGAATGGTTCAAGATATAATTATTGTATACCAAAATATTAGTTATGAAAATCCAAGTAAGAATAGTTTGGTTTTATTGTTTGAACTAAATATTTTCGTAAAAATCGCGTTCATTCAAGGTCACCGATAGTGCGCACGGAACAGTGTTAAAATACCATAAACTTTTTAATAAAGTGTCGTGATTAAAAGAATATTTTCTTTATAAAACGAGTCAAAGCTTAATAAAAATTAAATGTATCACAAACAAAGCGGTTATCATAATTTTCTGATACAATGTACCTTTAGTCTCGCTGGACAGCATCTAATCATATAATTATAGTTTAATATGGTTGAAACGGCGTCAGACATAAAATAGCTATTCAAATAACTTGAAATTATTGGAGTATATTTTGTTCGTTGATTTGTAATTGGTGTATTTGAATTTTCAACGGTTTGTAAAATGTTGCGATCTATAAGCGATGAAAAAAACTAGGGTTTTTTTTTTAAATAGGGTATACTTATTAATGACGTTGTTATAAATCTAGCACCGTCGGCCTGGGCTGTGCGGCCCGTGTATGCGAGGTGTTTATATTGATAACGCTCGTAAATTATCGATTTGAATTTTAAAAATTAAATCAATTATGGTCTATACATATAAATTTTATTGACTTCATTTGGCAATGTGGCGAAATAAAGAAAATTAGCGTGTGTCTATGAACATGGGATAAAAATTCAAAATCCATATTTTTGACGTTATCATGAAATTAACGTTACGCCAGACTGGCCGATGCGGCTTGCATTTACATCTATGATGTTAATAATTTAGTGCGCAATGTTTTGATTTTTAATTTGTATATTTAATAAATTATGGTCTATATTAAAACATTATCGTACATGTTTCCTTCTGTCAATATTTCTCCTTTTCGACTTCTGAAATACAACTTTGCAAATTTTAACCAAAGCTGACACAATCATCCTTGATTGATTTAGATAAGTTTCAAATTTTACACAATACATGTATACGCAGAAAGGAATTTCCTTTACATATAACTTTAAGACCATCTTATTCTTAATGATATTGAAACATCCTTATGGTGTGTGGGTTTAGAGACCCTTTAGACTTAGGGTGAAGCTATGATATCGGGTCACACGTTTTTCAAGAGAAATCTTTTTAAAAACATGATGAAAAACAACAGGGCTAAAGTCACTCAAAAGAGCTTTGTGACCCATAGGTTTTTTTGTTTCTGTACATGTTTAAATGTTCAATTCAATGGGCTAATTTCATTTTGCTTAATGATTCCTTATTATAACTGGTGTGTTCATCTGGCTATTCTAGTTGACTTATAAAATTTTGAAATGCAAATATTGAATAATGCTGAGTTTCAACGGACAATGGTAAAAAGATATTTTTTTAAAGTGAAACAATTTGTATTCATTTTCATGTCATCTGTGTCACTCGGGTTACTAACTTTTATCGGTTTATGTACGTGTTCTTGTGTCAATTGTCGTCAATTGTACATTGGTCATATATTTCTGGATCCATTGAACTAATCTTAATTCGATTTTAGTGTATAGTATATTCGGATAAGAGAAAAAAAATGTTTATTTCATGGTATTGCCCCAAGATGGGTTTTGTTAGAACTATCAAATAAATGCAATTTATCTTTCTTGGAAAGCAATCAAACTTTTGGTGTATTAAAAAGGATTTGTTAGATCACTTTTCATTATTTTTATCAGAATCAGCATCAGGAAAGTTTCAAAAGACGATTGATAATTCACAGCGGAGTAAAGAACCAGAAACCTTGTTCTGCGAAGAATGGCATAAAAGTGTTGGTCACTTGGTGTGTAGTGATGGGATAGCTGGTACCGCATTCAGGGTTGGAAGTCGTTATCTGATGACAGCATCCCATGTGATAAGAAACACTTTAGGTTAGTATCTAAGCATTATGATAAACTTTTAGCATGAATTATATATCCTTCATTGTTGGTATTTTTTTTTTCAAGTAATTACTACCATACCAAAATGATGTATATTTATGTCCAATTTTTTCTTGTTAAAGTATCTGAACAAGTGCAAATGCTAACTAAAGTTGCTAAAACCAAAAAGAAGTTGTTTATAATTCGTCTAGAAATGTACACCGATAAGATCATAGAGAACACCCAGTCTGATCCATATCGCAGGATTAATTATTCAAGGCTATTGCAAAAACTGCAAGTAGGGGAATCCGGAAGAGATATTGAAGAGAAATTAAAAAATGGGATTCATGAATGGCTGAAAAAGACTAGTTATCAAGTATTGATCACCAGCCTACTGAGTGCTTTGGTGGATACAGGATTTTCATGTGCCAAAGGTAATATTTCGAATAATGGACACACATTTTATTACTGCAGATAAGATAAAATAAATGATCCAAGCACTTCAAAATAAAGATAAGATTTTCCAGGGCATCATATAGTCATACATTACATATATTTTGAACATTTATGCATGTTCCATTAATGTGGGATTTATAATCAATGTGTAGAGTTATCTTCAAGAGGGAACCTGATCGCTGAACGCAAGTTTTGTTTGGGCATCTCCATATGAGTAAAACATTCTCGAGAGGGACGTTAAACAATATATAATCAATCAATCAAATTTTGTTTGAAAAATAAGGTACATTAAAAATGTACCCCTGCTATAAAAGTATGTCATAAAGGTTATGTCCGTCCTTTCGTTTCGTACATTCATAACACTTTTAGGAAACCTATCCCTTATCTACAACTCCTCCTTTGTGTAGTCCCGTAAGGATCCGGGTTAGAATAGATCCTCAGTACCCCCTTGCTTGTCGTAAAAGGCGACTAAATGGGACGGTCCTTCGGATGAGACCGTATAAACCGTGTCACAGCAGGTGTGGCACGAAAAAGATCCCTCCCTGCTGACAGGCCGTAAGAGCCGGGAATAGGCCTACATTTGCAGCCCTTCACCGGCAATGGTGACTTCTCCATATCAGTGAAATATTCTAGAGAGGGACGTTAAATAGTGTACAATCAATCAATCAATCATTTGTGTATTTGCAAGTCTGAGAAAGATTAGTATAAAATATTTAGCAACAAGTATCCTTATCAGGGCTCAATGATGATTATTTTTCCCCCTGTTTGAATTCATGAGGGAGATACATGTACATGAATCTTTATATATCTATGTAGGAAAATTATGCTATCTTCCTGTAATATTTCAGCTTAAACTGATGTGAATCCGTAACAGAGGACACACTGGTTGTTAATGCTGCTATCATGACACCAAATATTAGTATATCAAGTATATATAAGGAGACTGGGAAATCTTCTGTTTGGTGCATGTCCATTCTGCTGTCATTTTTTTACTCTAGCAAAACCATAAATCAATGCATCAGAGGGTATGTCATATTTCATAAAATCTTCGGGTCAAAAAAATTCCCAAAGAGTCAAAATTAATAAACTTCATGAATGTGGTGAATCACAATCACACGGAAATCTTCTTTTTATAATTTATTATGACGATTAAAGGCAATAACAAATCCACAAGGGTTAACAATCAAAATACCACATTGGCTAAGATAATCAGATGGTTTCTGATATGTATTCAATATTTCTTCAATGTAAACTCAATACAAAATCGATAAACTCAATAGTTATCAAGATCACAAAAACTCTCATATATATAGTATCGAAGAAACATCTAGAAATAGAAACTTCGATAAAATTCTAGATCATCACATTCTTAAATATTCTAGAGACTTCTTGATAATTAATTCACGAAACATTTAGAACATTCTAGATTATACCTGTACATCATTCAATTTCTAGAAAATACATTAAAATTGCGACAATTCGCAACACTCCCAAGACCAAGGAAAGTTAATTTAATTGTTCCTTTATCAGTTTTGTCGCTCTTTCAGCGGCCTGTCTTTTTGCTCTAGGTAACGGAGGAATAACATCGACTGCTGGCTCTTCCTTCGTCATATCACTATCACCAAGGTCAGATTTATCGGTGCATTCTATGGGATAAAGTAAATTTAACGGTCGGTTTAATGTTCTTTTGTTAGGTAACATTACCTTTCCGGACCTGTATTGTCCATCTTTACTCATTGTCAAATCGCAAATTCTTCCAATCTTCCAGCTTCCTCTAGGGAGATCTTCTTTGATGAGGACAACATCACCAATTTGTACCGGCCTGTTGTCTTGAATCCGTTTTCCTTTTAATTTATAGGATGTTCTTTCTCTTAGACTTAAAAGATACTCATCTCTCCATGTCCTCCAGAATGTATCTAAAAGTCGTTGACCTTTTTTCCAAATTGCCAGTAAAGTGTTTACAGAGCTTGCAACAGGTACATAGTCTGGGTCCATGGGATCAAAATTTTCACTATCTTGAAGTCCTATTTTTGGATTCAAAGTGAGAAAATGCGCTGGAGTAAGGGTGATGTTTGAATTAATATCGTCTCCAATATAGACTAAGGGTCTCGAATTCACGACTGCTTCAGCTTCTGCAAGCATCGTTCTCATTTGCTCATTTGTTAAACAGAGTTTTCCTATAGTTTTTCTTAAGCATCGTTTGACAACACCAACCAGACGTTCATAAAATCCTCCCATCCATGGTGCCAGTTCCACAATAAATTGCCACTGAATCTCTTCATTTGCAATATAACTTTGGACATCATTATCAGACGTAACCTTTTCCCAACTTTTATCCAAAACCAGGCTTGCAAGTTTAAATTGAGCACCATTATCAGAGATAATTTGTTTTGGCTTGCCCCAACGCGCAATAAATCTCCTTAGTCCTAGGAGAAACTGTTCTGTGGACATGTCCTGCATGAGTTCAAGATGTATGGCCCTTACTACCAAGCAGGTAAATAGACAGACCCATACCTTTTTATTGCCAGTTTCTGTTTTGATGAAGATTGGTCCAAAGTAATCCACTCCCGTGTACGTAAATGGTGCTGATTCACTCACACGTTTCTTTGGTAGTGGAGGCATCAGTGGCATCTTGTATGGACCACCCTCAAACCGCTTACAGATTGTGCATTTATGAAGTATTCTTTTTACTTCTGCTCTTCCCTGCGGAATCCAGTAGTCTTGACGAACCAATGACAGTGTTTGGGAGATTCCAACATGAAATGATTTTTTGTGGATGTAATCAATAATCAGTCCCGTCACATGGTTCTTTCTTGGAAGGAGGATAGGAGATCTTGCACCTTCTGTCAGCTGAGCATGCTTGAGTCTTCCAATGCATCTGATAATCCCTTCCTGATCCAATACAAGTCCTAATTGACTAATTAAATTATTTCTCTTATTTTCCTTGAGTGAGGTTTTGACATCACCATAGTTTTGAGTCTGGATATTCTTGATTATAAGAATTTTAGCATTCTGCAGTTCTGAGTAAGTTAGATGGTTCCATGGCATTGGAATTTTCTTCACTCTTTTGATAAACCTAAGAGTCCATGCTAAAACTCGAGTAAGGTTTATAAATGATGAAAAATTTTGGTAGTCAATGATGTTTGGATATCCAGTTGATTCAGAATCTGAGTTGTTATTTCTTCCGTTAGGACTCTCCCCAGCCACCAGTTTTGCTTCATAAACTATCTTTGGAGTCTTGCATTCTGATTCTATGACACTCTGCATTTCTTTACAGGTTTGTTGACTGTTCCATGAAGGCCAATTGTCTTTCCTTTTAATTAACCATTCTGGACCATTCCACCATTGTTCAAATTCTTGAAGAGTTTTAACTGCTGTTCCTCTGCTTGCAATATCAGCTGGATTATCCTTTGTAGACACATATTGAAAAGTGATATCTTTGTTGTTTCTGATTTCTTTTACTCTGTTTTCCACAAAAGTTTTAAGAGGTTTCTTCATTCTTATCCAATGTAATACACATTGGGAATCGGTCCAAAGGATCTTTTCTGTGACAGGTAACTTCAGTTGTTGTTCAACAAAGTTAATGCAGCGGACTCCAATGACAACAGCCAATAGTTCCAATCTAGGCAGTGTTATTTTCTTGAGTGGCACTAACCGAGTTTTTGAAAACAACAGGTTGACAGTACTTCTTTCTTTTTTGCTCTGGTGTAAATAGATCGCACAGGCGTACGCTTTAGTTGATGCATCACAAAAGCACATTAATTTGTATGTCACTGTACCAGTGAGTCCTATAAAACGAGGAATAGGGCAATTGGGAATATCATCCAGGTCTGCGGATATATTTTCCCAGCGCTGAATGTCTTCTTTGGTCAGTTCTTCATCCCACTCTTTCTTTTGGTTCCATAATGTTTGTAGAAACAACTTTGTTCTCAAAGTAACTGGGGTGAAGAATCCAAGTGGATCAAAAACAGAAGCAATTCTTTGAAGGACTTTCCTCTTGGTGATAGGTGGAATATGAGTTTCATCTTTTGGACTGTTTATGAATAGGGAGTCCTCAGAAAGTTTCCAAGACAAACCAAGAATTTTTATGGTTTCTCTGTTTGCTTGATCAGCTTGAGGAATACACTGGCTAAATTCTGTGGAGTTAGATGCCCAGTCTCGTAAATTCATTGACATGGTACTGAAGATCTCTTTGGCGTCTGTATATAGTTTCCTAGCCTCTGAGACGGACTCTACACCAGTGATAACATTATCCACGTAAATATTGCTTCTTATGTTTTCAGCTGTTGCAGTGTTGTAGTTTCCAAGATGGTAATCTAAAGTTGCAGCTAATAGAAAAGGGCTTGATATAACTCCAAATGGAACTCTCGTAAATCTATATACTTGAATATTGTTCTCTGTGGATGGAGTTTCAATATCCTTTAACCAAAAAAATCTTGTCACATCTCTGTCCTTTCCTTGTAATTCAATCTGTAGAAATGCCTTTTCTATGTCAGCAATAATTGCAATCCTTTTCATTCTAAATCTCATCAACAGTCCACACAAATCATTTAGCATCACTGGTCCTCTGTAAAGACACTCGTTAAGGCTGTTACACTCTGGTTTGACCTTTGCCGATGCATCATAGACGATCCGTACTTTTGTGGTAGGCTTTGTTGGATCAATGACAGCATGATGGGGTATGTAGTGTTTGATACTATTCTTCACTTCACTGCTCTTTGTCACCTTTTCAATTATGCCTTGCTTGCACTGGTCCTGAATTATTCCATCATATTGGTGAAGCAGCTCAGGGTTCTTTTTTAATTTTTGAAGTAGAGATTTCAACCTTCCAAAAGCAAGTTCTCTGTTCTCTGGGAGTTCAGGTTGCTCATCCTTCCAGGGCCAAGTGACTTGATATCTACCATTGACTAGTTTTATTGTGTCGTTAAAGTTTTTTAAAGCCTTGTCATCATCTGATGAATTGGGCTGATCCTTGATT